TCGGTGTGGATTAAGATGCAGCTCAACTGTATAAATACAACTCAATGGTACTGATTGAGGCGCCATGTTTACTTTATAATCATACTCTTGGCCGTACAATATATGTCTCTTTGGGATAAAGGAGATTAGTCACCCAGCATATCTTCAATGTAATATTTAATTTTGCAATAATGTGATTTCATTTTAAACACGTCTAATCGTGTCTATAAATTCATTGCACAGGAAATGTGAATTAGCCAGAACCACTTCCAGGATCACGATTCTCTTGGAAAAATAGTTTACACTTTCAACAGCCAAAACTTTACATTTGGACTTTTAAATCCACAACCAATGTGTATCCCACCTACTAGCGTCACTCAATGCAGCAGATAACATTATCTTGTCATTCAAATCAGATGGAAGGTGTTAAGATCTGACACAGATGACTCCCGCTCTCAATTCTGAAAAGATAATAGAGTCGTTTGCTGGTGATCTTCAGGAGAATGGGTCTGCAGATATATCCTGCAGAGAGAACAGTGAGTTGATAAGATTTTGACACTTTTAGTGAGTAAGCCATCACTCGGACTTTGATATTACGTCTGTTTTTCATCAAAGAACTTTACCACAGACAGTACTTGATGATTTCACAATAAACAACAGCCCTGAAGAAATGACAATATAATCTAAAATATGTGTTTTCTAGCTTTCTTTTATGATGAAATACAGACTTGTGATTGTTTACTCAGTAAGAGCGTCACAATATTGTCAACTCTCCCCTTTTTCCTCTGCAGGACTCAACTGTGCAACACTCTGACATTAACTCTGCTTTTATTGTTTTATATTGTGAAATTCAACCAATATTCTTATCCATCTGCTATAACACTCTTATTAACTGTTTCAAATTTATATTTTTTCATATGTGATGTCCCTTGCACAACTACACTGTGGCTGTGTATATGAAACATAAAACCTTTGAACCTCTATTTCTTTTTTAATTGTTGTTTTATTGTTATGTCCATTTTTTCAGACGTATTTCTTATTTTCTATATTCATTGTTGTTATATATTGTAGTAAAATGCACACATAATCACTGCTTATTTACTCAATACACACTGAATAATATATATATATATATATATATATATATATATATATATATATATATATAACAGAACATAATTTAAGGCTTTCAGTTGCAACATTAACATCTCAAAGCTGTTTGTTGTTTTCAGCAACTAATAATTGTCTTTGGATAATTCGTAATTTAGTGACAATCGTTAAAGCAGTGGTGCACACCCTCATTTGTGCCAACTTTAGCTTTGCAGATACAGATTGAATAAACACTGCAGGCTGGTGCTGCATAGTAATGTCTGTGTATTCTGTCTGTCTTTTGCTGTGATGCTTTCCTTACCCTACAATGGGGCGTTGGTCTATGTGTATTTTCTTTCATGTGCATGCACTGGCGATGCATTTGGGATAATGAAATTACTCAAGTTATAAGTGTATGATTGTGAATACAGTGAAAGCACAGTTTACAGTATACAAACCTCCTTTTTTGCTACGACGCACAACATTTTAAATCAGAGCTGTATAGAGTGATGTCCTGGGTCGTCAGTGATATAATGACATCGTCTGTTTATTGTACTAATCAGCTCATCGTGCCCAAACCTGTGAAGTGCCCTCTGAAGTTGTTTTATCTCAAAAGCTGCATGTGCTTCAGCTGTACACGACTTTGATCATGCAGTCATTGGTGGTCTCTCTGAAGTCATTATGTCTCTTGACGACTAAATAAATATAAATAAAGGCAAACACACAGTAGATAAGAAAGAAGTGCTTCTGATAATGCCTTGAATGATCCAGGTGTATTTGAAACCTTGAATATGTAATTCAAGAGTCCTGCAAAAGGAGCAAAGGCGTGTGACTATCAATGGCTGCAGACTTTGTTTGCAACCTAACTTCACTGTGTATTACCCAACTGCATGAATGCACACCACAGCAGATTCAGGGAGCCTCTGTTGACTGTGGGACCAAAATAATCGTTGTCGCCTCCAGGCAAAGTTACAGTCAGGAACTGGGACAATTCTCACTGGCTTTGCTCAACACCGAAACTGACAGTTTATGTTTTGACAGAAATAATGGGAGGTTTCTTCTTAATAAACAACCTTTGACAGCGTGGCTTTTGTTATGCAAATAGCCATATAGGTGAATTACATAAGAAAAAGGAAGCAGTATGCAATTAAACTTTACAGCAATACATGTTTTTCAGCTACATTTTATAAAATATTATGTCAATGATTAAAATAAAAAAGCAAGATTAACACGATTTTTTACGTTTTGTCATTTCTGACTTAGATTTTTTTTGGAACAGTACCACCAATTATGTCACACACACACCTGTGACAGGCTCTCAGCCAGTGATGGAGACAATACAACAATAACGACATCAAAAACTGTGCATGGGTAAAAGAGACGTGCCAAAACTGTTCTAACTGCCAATTTGGATGACCGAGGAGCAGCAGTGGTGAGCCAATAAGCTTTGTCCTGGGCCAGGCAGACCTGTCTGTGCACCTGCTGATTCCCAGGCCTGCTTGCCAATCTTCGACTACAGTGAAACCCAGCAAGAGTGAAACTGGCTGTGAGCCAGAGGAAGAGTTGGTTGACTACTACTGACACAGTCGCTAAAAGCAGGAGATCCTGGGAGGAGGACCAGCCCTGTGTCGAGATGAGAAAAATAGATGACTAACCATGAGAAGAGAAAGAAAAGGAGGAGGAGTTCATTGAACTCATGGGAACCTAAAACCTGTCCGACACTGCCTACAGGATTGCTCAATTAGGGCAACTGTGCAACCTATATGTGTCAGTGTCTGTGTCTGCAACATGTGTGGGCAACAACATGGATTTAAGATTTGAGTTTTTGATACTAAATATATATTTTTGTATTAATGTGAAGATCTTTGCAGAACATCTGTGTTTGGCCTCTGAATGAAGGACAGGAAAGCAGTTGGGGTGGAAAAGAGTCATAAACAACACATGACATTTAAGTGTCCTTCTCAAAGGAGTATCATGGCCTGCCTTCACCTGCCCTCACACAAAGATGAGCAGCACTTACTTTAAAACACAGACTCAGTATAAACCTTTATGATTAATTGAAATCAGGTGAAACAGGGATAGGCTACCCCAACTCCTTGTTAGGCCTTTAAAAAACAATATCTTAACAACAACTAAGGCCTTAAAGATGTCTGTCTATACTTACAGAGTCACTCAAAATGCAACGATATTACAGTCTGTGAGGCAATATTTAGCACTTTAGCTAATAGCTGCTAACTGCTACGCTAAGTTTACCAGCTAGCTGATAGCTTTGCATTTTGAGCCTGGGTTTTTATTGACGGTGTTCATTCCCAAAACTGCGGTGTTTGGCATCTAAAAAAACAACGAAGATAAACAAAAGTTAAAGTGAACAAGAACAATAGAGTTACAGCTTTTTTTAAACGCAATTATTCACTTGAAATGTGCTAAAAAGCTAAATAGAGGTAAGGGAAACTGTGGAGTGATCATTCCCCTTCTGTAAAGGGGTTTAAGGTATGGTTTGTTTATCTGTTTGTTAGCAGTATTACATAAAAACGACTATCACCAGAGGCTAATCCCATTAAGTGTTGGTGCAAATGTAAATCATGGAGCGGATTTACAAAAACATTTTTCACTGTCTCTACCTTTGAATGCAGGGCAACCCCTTTCACAATGTAAATTGATTTCCACTGTTAGTCTAAACATATCATGATATGCATAGATTGTTCTTGCAGTGGATCAAGCTTTTCAAACTGTCATGGCTAGCACTAAATGGTCCCTCAGGGTCAAATCAGAGTTCAGCATTGGTCCAATTGCATCAGCGTTACTTTTCCATACAAGGTCATAGGCCGAGACGAAGGATGTCCCACTTTGACCCATTTATTACAGCCGTTTAAACAGAGCCCTGACACATGGCAGCATGATGGACGGCCCACTGACTAATGGCAAACAGATTGCTGATGTATTGGGCCCAGTGTGTGTTATTTAACCTCTTGCTCATCTGTGACTCATCCTCCCTGTTCCGAAAAACAAATGCATATGCATAGCTGTCAGCTCCACAAGTGTTGAGCAGACACTCCCTGCTATGGTTTATAAACCTCTCTCTGTGTTCACTTTAGTTTGCTGTACAAATAATCATATGTACATCTATTGTCTCTGGCTCAGGCTAAAAAAAAAGCATAAAAATAGGAGTAGTTGTTGACAGCGAAAATCGTATGTCCCAGTCTCCTAAAACAAGGAAGTATAAGAAGAATATGGAGGATTATAATGAAAACCTATGTATTTGTCACACACATATACATATGTCTCAAAGTCCCACTCCACACTCCAGAGACCCTCCAGCTCCAGAGCCAAGTCCCTGCAGACTGAGCTACTGCAAAAACACCACCTAAAGCATTTTTTAAGACATACAAATATATAATGTTATTAAGTGCAAATAAAAGAATGCAGGTACAAGCAAACCTCAATCAAGTTTTCAGATAAACGTCAATGATGTTGTCAAGTTTTGAAGACAGTATGCCCTCTCTATTGTTGTGATAAAGCAGCACACTGTTTCTGTTTCTTCTCAATCAGTGATTTGACTCAATCACTCTCCCATGTCTCGAGCCCTTTCAAAATCAGTCACAGCCATCAGTCACAGCATGGCACTGCCAAACCTCATCAGCAGTCATGTGGATTGCATTAGAATTGGTCGAGCCACGGCACAGCCGGAGGCCCGAGCTTACTTATCATACCCTTACAGCGAGAGATGGTTCAGGAAAAGTACCTGGAGGGCTGATGAGGATTATTCAGACACCCCGCAGAGAACAATGCTCCCCGTTTTTGATGGCTCCCTTTTAAATTCTCTTCTTCCTTGAATTTAAAGCAGTCGCTACCTAAATACTCTTTAAATGATCGCTTGTGAAGTACACAAACATAACATTGAGCTGTTCTGAAGATACACATAACGCAGAAGGTTGAATTTGCACTTCATTTTATTTGCATCACATCACTCCCACATATAAAGATGACACACAAAGAAGGAGATGTTTCATTCGATTAGTTACAGTGATATAAATGTAACATAAGTGGAGTAAGTAAATGCATTTAAAATCCATGTCTTATGAATATTTCATATACATAAACATGACAAACGACCTGTTTTGACAAACAAAATAGCATACATTAAAGTAACTTCCACAAGAAGTATAATAAAGCCTTTGGCTCGGTTCAGAGGTTACAATGGAGTGTAACATCTAACTTTCTTTAGCACATACATCATAGAAGCAAGTTCTTTTTTGAAAAAAGGGTATTATCTTACACTATTGAGTAGATAAGGATTGTATTGAGCATGTAAACAAAAGAGGGGCAAATTATAAAATGCCAGGGTGGCTGTGTTGGTGGGAGAATCCGCAGGGTGGGAGTCAAGACTCCTGCAGGGCTTGCTTTTTACAGATGCAGATTGATGGGAGACGGGGACAAAAAGCCAAAGGTTACCACTCCCGTGCCACTTTTCTATTAGGACAAGAGGTTTTTCAAACAAAGTGACTGTGCCGATCCGAGAATTAAGATGGAGGAAATACATTTGTTTTGACAGAAGTCCTGCTGTGCTTCTTTTCAAGCACGACTTTAAACAGATGATAAAATCCCATCAAACATACATGTCAGGGGTGATAACATTGTCAGCTGATTAACTCTGCGAGAAGATACCAACCTAAACCAGCCAGGGGAGCGTTCACACACAGGTACGAAAGTGGCACCTCTCACTGCAACCTGAACTTGCTGCAGCTGCTGAATATAAATAGGCCGCAGTAGTCAGACAGCGAGAACACAACAAAGTATTGGCTAACGCCCATCTGCTCAAACACAGACACTTTCTGTTTCTCCCGCTCACATTAAAGGCTGCATCTGGTAGCAAAGCCCCAAATGCAAATTCACGTCATTTACATGACGGCTTCTGCTTTCTGCTCTGTGGCTGTATGGTGATATGTTCCTTTAAAGTCTAAATTCACAGCCCTTCTTCTCTTGAGTGGCTCACACCACTGATGCATTCACATACTTTGATTTTGATAAGTTTTTACTATTGCCCTGGAACAATCAAATATTTGAATATAATGTAAACAATTTCATACTGTCCCGAGTGTCTGCTGAAGAGGGAAAACCCTGGCTGAGAATGACCCAGAATCCTCTCTGCTGTCCCCACAGATGTTCGTTCCCAATGTTTACTTTGCTCATGTAGTGTTTCCCCTTTGCAACATTTGGCATCCCAGAGTAAAATAGGCCAATTACACAACAGGAAACAAGGCTAAATTGCCATAAATCTGAGCCTTGACAACATATAATAACTGATATTAATAAATTAAAGTTTTGTCCACAACCCACAGGGTCTGTTTATGAGTTCAGATGAAGCAAAAAAACTTCTTCCAACTGCACTTGGAGAAAGCTTTAGTGCGTCTGTCGGAAAACCTCCTCTTCTTAGATTTGCGGGTTTTGTTCTTAATGGCGGCAAAAATGGCGGCATCAAACGCCTCCTTCAAGTTCTTTTGTGTGAGCGAAGAACACTCCACGTAGTCTGCAGCCCTGATCTTGTCCGCCATGCTCTGTGCCCTGGAGTTCGGGATTGGCTTGACATTCGATTGGTCCAGGTTGATGAGGACGTTCACGTCCAGCAGAAGGTCAGACTGAGTCCCTACGAGAACGATGGGCGCGGACGGGTTGTAGGCCCGGATCTCTGGAACCCACTTCTTGGTGATGTTGTGGAACGAGGTGGGGTTGACCATGCTGAAGCACAGGAGGAAGACGTCCGTGTGGGCGTAGGACAGGGCTCTGAATCCATCAAACTCTTCCTGAATGGAACATAAAGACAGTTAGTGTCAATCAAACTATGTGCAGACATGATGGAGAAATGAGTGAAAGACGCTGACTCACTAAAGAAAAAGGTAATCTATTAACATTGTGAAATCATGGTACTGAGTCACATATTGGATGAAGCAAGGAAAGTTGTACCTTCACAACTCATCTTGACTACAACTAGAACATCTGTGTCTTTTATTAGGAATGGTGGTTTTATATTTTGTATCACTTCCCTTGACATAATTAACTCAAGATCAGGAAACAGGTGTGAATTTGGTAATATAAAAAGCTCACTAAACACAACCTTTAAAAGTAACATGGTGACATTTTTTCTTTTTGAAAAACAAACAGATAGTCTTACCTGTCCAGCAGTGTCCAGTAGCTGAACTTTAACCGGGGCTCCTTCTACTTGGACCTGACCTGTTGAAAATCAGTAACATGAATCAGTTAGTATCAGTCAGTTTAGATCACTTGTTTTCCAACATATTTCTCACACATAAATATGATTTGATGATTGTTTTTTCTGTAATAAAGGTGTATATATATTTAATGTGGTTCTGTATGCATCATGACAAAATAGTTCTGAACTATTTAACTTAAAAAACACGCACATGACATGGCAATTACATTACATTTCATTTTCATTTCACACAATACATTAAATGAAAAATGTTAAATAAAAGCTGTGTGTGTCAGTAAACACTGAACCTAAGCAAACACACCAGCAATTAAATTAAAACATTAAAAAAACAATTCGTATTGATTTTGTTTGTATTACACTAATTTGCTTCCATATCTCTTGTTGCACTGTTGGCTTGGGATTTTCATTGCCAACAACTAGGCTGTAGCATATGACAATAACAGTTTTTAATTCTTTTTTTTGTATTGGTTCTTGTGTATGATCACTCACCAGAAAACACGTCAAAGCCAGTCTGCTGGTACTCCGTGGGGTATCCGTTGGAGGTGTAGCTGACGATCATGCTGGTCTTCCCGACGGCTCCGTCCCCGACCAGCATGCAGCTGATCACGCCGGGCTCCAGCTCATCTTCCCGGGTCAGCCCGCAAGCAGAGGGGACTCGGGACTCGTGGGAGAAGTAATCCATGTGAGGTGGCATGTCGAGCCGCACATTAAACTTTGGGAATGCAGACTCTCTCCTCCCTTACGGATCTATGACGGTGAGAATAGATACTGAGGGTTGTCTGGGTGCTGATATACTGAGTTACATACCGGGAGGCTGCAGATCCTGTTCTAAAGTGACGGGGACATGTGGGGAGGGACGCTTTAGGGGAAGTTTGTAATCGGACAGGTTGCGATTTGCATAGACACTCCCATTGAGGAAAGAAATAAAGAATCTTTTTTTTTTGTTTAGATAGATAGATAGATAGATTGATAGATAGATGTTCTTATGATTTCCTCCTTGCAAATCTTCAATACATCTTATTTTATGACTCTTTAATTAGGTTAAAAAACCTACAGCTCAACCTGAAGCTGTTTCCCAGAATTATCTGTGCATTCCATATAATTACGTCTTGTACAAAGACTGTGCATTATTTATGATCATGTTATGGCCTATATTCTTTACCTATATCAGTAATGTTGAGGAGAAAGCATACATCACTTTTAAAATAATTATTCTAGCTTTATTATATATAAATGAGCGTGAATTACACACTAAAGGCCCCTTGGAATTGTTTTCTTTACTGTTTGGTGTAATCGTTTGCCCATAAACTGTAAGGCAGAGGTGGGAGAAGTACTCAGATCTTAGTACAAGTACCAGAGTGTAGGAAATAGGAATACTCTATTACAAGTAAAAGTCTTGCATTAAAAATGTTACTACTCAAGTAAAAGTAAAAAAAAAAAATCAGAATCAAAGTACCAACAGTAAAAGTACTTATAATGCAGATTGGTCCATCTCAGAATAATATATATATATATTAAATGTTTTGATTATAATTATTAATGCATTCAAGTGTTATCATAGCTGGTAAAGGTGCAGCTAGTTTTAATTACTGCAGGGTAGCTTGTGCATTTACTCCAGGTGTAACTAAAGTCTTATTTAATTATTGATTAGATTTCACAACATTAATCCAAATCTGTAAAGTAACTAAAGGTATTAAAGTAGAAATTCAATGTAGCATACAATTGAAATATTCAAAATTGTAATTAAAGGTGGGGTATAGTAATTTTGGAGAAACCAGCTCGAGTGCGCTAGAATTTGAAAATACACAGCCGGAAAAAATCTGCCACTTCCTTATGCTGCGTTCACACCGGACGCGATGCGATGTTTGGGGGGCGGCGCGATTACATGTAAAGTCAATGCAGAGACGCGGACAGACGCGAATTCGCTCCGACGGTGCGCATGAAGCGGTGGACGCGGCGCGAATCACACGATTGAGGCGATTGAACGGTGCCGCATTAAATGCGAGAGTTCAATTTTTTCAACTCGAGCGTCAAATTCACGTGACGCGTTCTCGCGGAAGCCAATCAGCGGTGAGAATCTCAGCCGCCGTCACTGACGTTCAACCACACAACATCAGCCGTTAGCTGTTAGCAGTTAGCACACAGAGCTCACAGCTCCTCATATCTGTTCAGAAACTGGACAAAAGTTAAACAAGTACAAACCACAGACTGTCTGTGTCATGGTGAATACAGTCGCTGCTTTATTTATGTCTGTAGGCCGTTGTTATGAGTGTGGAATGAACATATACAACGTTAGCTTAGCCTGGTTGACCCGATCTTCATTCAGAAAACAAGCATTTTAAAAGGTGTTTTGCCTGCCCTCTTGTCTGCAGACTTGTCAAAGCCTTAATTCATGGTTGTTACTAACCGGTATCAGTATGTTGTTACTTCGGCATCATTTAGAAACGTGTATTACAATTTAATCACGGTAAAATATGTTCATTTGTTGTAGTTGTAGCTCCCGAGCCAGCGCGTCTTGTTTGAATGATGCGAGTAAACACAGCTGGCAGCCGCGGTGAACCTCCAGCGTTTAGAGCGATGCGATAGGAGCGATTAGAGCGAAGCGAATATTCGCATCGCGTCCGGTGTGAACGCAGCATTATGCTGCGTTGTCTGCAGACAAGACGGCAGGCAAAACACCTTTTAAAATGCTTGTTTTCTGAATGAAGATCGGGTCGACCAGGCTAAGCTAACGTTGTATATGCTCATTCCACACTCATAACAACGGCCTACAGACATAAATAAAGCAGCGACTGTATTCGCCATGACACAGACAGTCTGTGGTTTGTACTTGTTTAACTTTTGTCCAGTTTCTGAACATATGAGGAGCTGTGAGCTCTGTGTGCTAACTGCTAACAGCTAACGGCTGATGTTGTGTGGTTGAACGTCAGTGACGGCGGCTGATATCCTCACCGCTGATTGGCTTCCGCGAGAACGCGTCACGTGAATTTGACACTCGAGTTGAAAAAATTGAACTCTCGCGTTAACGCGGCACCGTTCAATCGCCTCAATCGCGTGATTCGCGCCGCATCCACCGCTTCATGCGCACCGTCGGAGCGAATTCGCGTCTGTCCGCGTCTCTGCATTGACTTTACATGTAATCGCGCCGCCCCCAAACATCGCATCAAGTCCGGTGTGAACGCAGTATTATGCTGCGTTCACACCGGACGTGATGCGACTATTCGCTTCGCTCTAATCGCTCCTATCGCATCGCTCTAAACGCTGGAGGTTCACCGCGGCTGCCAGCTGTGTTTATGCTGCGTTCAAACAAGACGCGCTGGCTCGGGAGCTACAACTACAACAAATGAACATATTTTACCGTGATTAAATTGTAATACACGTTTCTAAATGATGCCGAAGTAACAACATACTGATACCGGTTAGTAACAACCATGAATTAAGACGGCAGGCAAAACACCTTTTAAAATGCTTGTTTTCTGAATGAAGATCGGGTCAACCAGGCTAAGCTAACGTTGTATATGCTCATTCCACACTCATAACAACGGCCTACAGACATAAATAAAGCAGCGACTGTATTCACCATGACACAGACAGTCTGTGGTTTGTACTTGTTTAACTTTTGTCCAGTTTCTGAACAGATATGAGGAGCTGTGAGCTCTGTGTGCTAACTGCTAACAGCTAACGGCTGATGTTGTGTGGTTGAACGTCAGTGACGGCGGCTGAGATTCTCACCGCTGATTGGCTTCCGCGAGAACGCGTCACGTGAATTTGACGCTCGAGTTGAAAAAATTGAACTCTCGCGTTTAATGCGGCACCGTTCAATCGCCTCAATCGTGTGATTCGCGCCGCGTCCACCGCTTCATGCGCGCCGTCGGAGCGAATTCGCGTCTGTCCGCGTCTCTGCATTGACTTTACATGTAATCGCGCCGCCCCCAAACAGCGCATCGCGTCCGGTGTGAACACAGCATTACAGAGCCCCTCCTCCGACACACACGAACGCGCACATGACCAATGAGGGCACGAGATAAGTTTGTGCACAGATGGAAGGCTGACAGGCAGGTAGGCCATCCAGTTATTTTAGCCGGGCCGGCTAAAATGATTGGTCGTGCTTTTTACAGTACTACGGCTTCCACAGATGACATTTTTGTATAGATTTTTTGTCAAAGCACTTACGATATTCATTGCTATCGGGATGTTAAGAGCATTCCATGGAATATAACAAAAAGTGTATCTCGAGCTGGTTTCTCAAACTTATCTACCCCACCTTTAAGTACAGTACCCGACTCTGCTGTAAGGGTATATGTTGCAAGACATGTGTATACAAATGTATATAATTAGGCTACCAACGGTGCCTTTAATATTCCTTATTTGTATTTATTTATACTTCAATGTACATGTCTTTTTGTCTCACATTCTGTGTTTACCCCCTTGCACACACTCCTTGCCTCCTTGATTTAATGTATAAATTGTGACCGCGGTGAAGTTAGTTTCAGTTTCCCCTGCTGCTGGCTGTATTACGACGGGGAGATCTTCTCCGCGAAACGAGGCTTTCACTTAGGGACCATCAACAAATGACTTTTCAATTAGAGCATTGATTTGTTGAACACACCTCTTTTTATTGCATTTGAATACTTTAAATAGCCTACGTTTTATTAATATTTTGATGGAAGAATTAGCATATTTCTTCAATAACTTCAACAAGGCATTTAGGACAGAGAGTGAATACACATACTATACAGATATGCTGTTTGAGAAACCAATGTGAGTTTGGAAAATTGCACAATGTAAATCTATTCTAGTAGACCTCAACAATGCAATTATGATCAGTAGAAATGGCCATGACATGGGACCTTTACATTTCAACATCTCATCACCAACCACTCACACTAAGGTTGGACAAACGGCGCTCCCTGGTGTCCAAGATAAGCACTACACCAAATGTGATCACATGACTCCGTTTGTCACCTGATTATCCTTGTCCACCCTGTGTTGTGTAGTCGGAAGCTAAGCTAGCTGTTATTATGATAGCATGAATGATTGAAATGTAGCTTATTTACACGTTTGCTGCATCTTCATATCATATTATACATCTTCCTTGGGAATTTAGACGCACGTAGTGAGAGGAAATGCTCTCGCTTGCCCTCAATGGGAGGAGGTTGTGTTAGCTAGCTAGCTGTTTAGCATACATTTCTAGGATTTTTCCTCTGCCAGCCATTGTTTATGTAGGGCATTCATTTACAGGGAGAACAACGAGTTAGAAAGAAGGTACTTCAAACCATGGCTTCAATTCTGGACGAGTACGAGGACTCTCTAAACACCAGGCAGATTGCGCAGCAGCACAGCCGCCTGTCAAATGCCAACATCGGGATAACACATTCAGGTTAGTCGTCCTCTCTGGAGCTGCTCCGTTTCATTAGCTAGTTACATTCAAGGGTGCTATAAGGTTGTTGGAACCTTTAAGGAATGTTAAAAATACACAATTAGTTAACTCCATGGTTTCATTGAGAACATGCTTTACTTGTTCCCTGACATTAGGCTTTGTGAATGTGAGACTTGAGGAAGAGAAGCCGATATTCAACAAGCAGAGGATCGATTTTACTCCACCTGAGAGGATAAACCATCTTGCAGTCTGCAACAATCAGCTATGCATGAGTCTGGGAAAGGACACCCTGCTGAGGTAAATAACACTGTCATAAGCCCTTTAAACACACTGTTATCGGCCACTGGCGTTTGTACGGTTTTGATTGAATTACCTTGAGTTAGTGCTTGTTGTTCCTTTTGATTTGTACTCATCTGCTGTAAGCTGTTGTTTATTGGAGCATCTAAATGAGTTGTTAATGATACAAGATACTGATACTAATGTTCTCTTCTGTACAGAATTGATTTGGCCAAGCCAGATCAACCTAATCAGATTGAATTAGGACGGAAAGATGAAAGTAAAGTGCACAAACTGTTCCTGGACCCCACTGGTGAGTAAAAAGACAGTGCCCAATCAGATTTTTTGAAAAAATTGCCCTTAGGACATATTTGTACATTACATTTACATATTGTTTATTACAATGAGACTTTCTGTGAGTCAATCGTCCATCATATTGTAATCAATAGATTTGCATTGTTTTAATTATATAGCTTCAAGTCATTCCTTTATACAGGACACACATATTTTTGTTATTGTTTTATATAGTACATTTATTGGGTATCATGAGGTATTTCACAATTACATCGGAATTTCTCTAAATGCTACTACATGATATTATAGTATTAGTGAGTCAGTTTTGACCTATTAACTCAATCAGCTGTATTTTTCTTCATATCCTAACACAGGCTCCCATCTGCTGATCTGCCTGAGCACCAGCGAGTGTCTGTACCTAAACAGGAACACGCAGAAGGTGCGCAGTCTCTCCCGCTGGAGAGGCCACCTCATCGAGAGCGTGGGCTGGAACAAGCAGCTGGGCAATGAGACAAACACAGGACCTGTCCTAGTTGGCACCAGTCAAGGCATCATCTTTGAGGCGGAGATCTCTGCAACTGAGGGCAGCCTGTTCAACACCAATCCAGATCAATACTTCAGACAGGTACGACGTAACATATTGTTATGTGTGGGTTGCAGTGTTTAGTATGTGATATTCATTTAGTGGTATTATTGTAGAAAAAACCATCCTTCACATTTATTTATCCCTCCTTGCATGAAAATACCCATGTTCTCTTGTTGAAACAGGTCCACTCCCTGGAGGAGGATGGGAAGCCTGCACCAGTCTGCTGCCTGGAGGTGGAGCGGGGGGGCTCAGAGAACAAGTACTTCATCATCGCCACCACCCGCAAACGTCTGTTCCAGTTTGTGGGTAAGTTGGCCGAGGGGTCAGAGCAGCAGGGCTTCAGCTCCATCTTCAGCCAGAACCAGGACCTGCTGCCCAGCTTCCAGGAGTTCCCAGCCAACATGGGCTACAGCGAGATCACCTTCTACACCCCGAAGCTCCGCAACTCACCTAAGTCCTTCGGCTGGATGATGGGTAACGGAGTTCTTTACGGTCAGCTGGATTATGTCAGGCCTGACTCCCTGCTGAGCGATGTGCAGGTAAATGTATATTTAAAAACGTTTATTCAGAAGCTAAAACATTTATGAGGTTATTTTGCACTGCATAAGTATTAAATGAAATGTAAGCGTCGGACAGAAATGAACATTTCCTCTGATATGACAGGCCGATAAGATGATGCATCTGTGTACGTAACTCAAACTGGTTACAAATCTGGTCCCGTAAGAAATATTTACAGTTTGGAGGTTTTTAAAGTGTTCAAAACTAATAGACTAGTTGCGACTACTGAAATAGGTCAAATTTGCCCTAGTTGTGCCTATTTTTGAAGATTGTCTTAAGAGACCGCACTATTCAAGCCTGTTAAAGATACATTTTTCCGTTAAGTTTAAAGATTTTACATTAAAAAAATATAAGGTTTGTTTTACTTGTTAGCTTAGATGTAGTAGTTTTCTTATTGAAAAAAACTCTTGGTGAACATGTACCTTTTGAATCTGCCAGTGGGCCATAACAGTAACACAAGGCATAACAACATTATATAAGGGTATGCTATTTCCACTACAGGAGAGATTTGATTTCTATACAATTAGATGGAAAAAAGGAAGTGCGTATATTAGCATCGGCATTGGAAATTCATCAGAAGGAGTTGGAAAATATCGGCAAAAATCCCACATCATACATCTTTCAATAATAACTCTACCTTCTCCACATTGACTCCTTTGTTCTCCTTATCTTATGCTCTCTTCCTCCATATTTTTCTCTCCCCTAATGACACAGGTATGGGAGTACACGCCTGACATTGACATCAGTCTCGACAAGCCCATCTCCATCGTGCTGACCCAGTTCCACTTCCTGCTGCTGCTCCATGATCGAGTAAAGGCCATCTGCACCCTGAATGGACAGGAGGTGTACGAGGATGTGTTCCCAGATAAATTTGGCACCCTAAAGAAGATGATCAAGGACCCAGTTGGAGGGTTGGTGTGGATCTACACTGAGCGGGCGGTGTTCCGGTACCACATCCAGCGCGAGGCCAGGGACGTCTGGCAGATGTACATGAGCATGACTAAGTTCGACCTGGCCAAGGAGTACTGCCGGGACCGGCCCGAGTGCATGGACATGGTTCTGGCCAAGGAAGCCGAGCACTGCTTCCAGAACAAGCGGTACATCGACAGCGCCAAGTGCTACGCGCTGACCCAGAACTACTTTGAGGAGATAGCGCTCAAGTTCATCGAAGCCAAACAGGAGGAAGCCCTGAAGGAGTTCTTACTGAAGAAACTGAATAATTTGAAACAGAGCGAGAGAACGCAGATCACCCTGCTGGTCACATGGCTCGCCGAGCTCTACCTGAACAGCCTCGGCCAGCTGGAGAGCGACGGCAACAGCGTCATCTTCCAGGAGACCCGCGAAGAGTTTCGAGAATTCCTCAGCAGCTCCAAGCACAAGGAGTGCCTGTACAACAACCGCAGCACCATCTACGACCTGCTGGCCAGCCACGGCAACGTGGACGACATGGTGTACTTCTCGGTCGTCATGCAGGACTACGAGAGAGTCATATCCCACTACTGCCAACACGACGACTACAGCGCCGCCCTGGATGTGCTCTCAAAGCACTGCGATCAAAAGCTTTTTTACAAGTTCTCCCCGGTCCTCATGCAGCACATTCCCAAAAAAGTGGTTGACGCGTGGATCCAGATGGGCAAGCGGCTGGACCCGAAGAAGCTCATCCCGGCTCTGATGAACTACAGCCAGATGGGCAGCACGCAGCAGATCAGCGAAACCATCCGCTACATGGAGTTCTGCGTGTACGAGCTGACCGTGACGGAGGAGGCCATCCATAACTACCTGCTGTCGCTCTACGCCAAGTACAAGCCGGATTCCCTGCTGTGGTACCTGGAGCAGGCGGGCACGCACCCCTCAGAGATCCACTACGACCTGAAGTACGCCCTCAGGCTGTGCGCTGAGAACGGCTACCTCCAGGCCTGTGTGCTGGTTTATAGGATTATGGAGCTGTATGAGGAGGCAGTGGATCTCGCTTTACAAGTAAGTGATGTTTTTTAATTTTTTTATTGCATGTTGAACTACAGCAATTTGTTGACGAATCAATTTGCCGATTAATTGTACATTGTTTGAGGTGTTTTTCATCAAAAAATAAAAATAAATGCTGTTTTTAGCCTCTTAAATTTCCGACTTCTCTCTGCTTTATATCATATTTAACTCAATATTAAGAATTTTTGCACTTTTAAGAAACTGGGATGGAAATGTTTCACTACTTTCAGACAAATTTTTATATACCAAATTATTAATTAAGAAAATATTTTGCAGATTAATCGATCATAGAGAAAATGGTTAGATGCCACTCTAATGTGTCCAAATGATGCACGATATTGTAGTAAACATATCATAAATCTTTGACTGAATTTGACTAATGCCACTCACTTGCAATGTGTTTATCAACCATAGGTAGATGTAGACTTGGCCAAGTCGTGTGCGGACCTGCCTGAAGATGACGAGGAACTGAGGAAGAAGCTTTGGCTGAAGATCGCGCGGCACGTGGTGCAGGAGGAGAAAGATGTGAAGAAAGCCATGAACTGTCTGTCCAGCTGCAACCTGCTCAAGATTGAAGACATCCTGCCATTTTTCCCAGACTTTGTCACCATTGACCATTTTAAGGTCTGTAACAAAGAGTTTCCTTTCCTTTTTTAACAAGAGAAACATATCCATACATAATGCCAATATTTTTTGACTTGATTTTGGTGGTGAACCTTTATATTTAGGAGGCCATTTGCAGCTCCCTGGAGGAGTACAACCAGCACATCGAGGAGCTGAAGCAGGAAATGGAGGAGGCCACGGAGAGCGCTAAACGCATCCGAGAGGACATCCAGGAAATGAGGAACAAATATGGCGTTGTGGATTCCCAAGAAAAGTGTGCTTCATGTGACTTCCCATTACTCAACAGACCCTTCTATCTGTTCCTGTGTGGACACATGTTCCACTACGACTGCCTGTTCCAGGTATATCTCAGAGGCTGCTTCTGTGCCACTGCACAAATGATGTGTTCTTTTAGTTTAATTAAAATCTTAAAAGTATCATGATTGAAATATATCTTCAATTATACATTTAAAAGATGCCAAAAAAAGTATTAGTTTGTAACTATCAAATCAGAGGTACAGGGTGCAGGATGGTTTAAACTGAAACGCGCTCTTTTGTGCATCAATGAGTTCACAAAATGAATACAGAGTTAAATCCCGGATTAAATGTAAGTTAAGGGGTCTTGAAAATATTGATTGTGAAGTTATCCTTGTGGTGTTGCAAATTACACTACTGAGAAGCAAGAAAAATGTCAGACTAAAAAGTATCAACATACTGATCGTAAGCACATTTTCTATTCCTGTGCTTTCTAGGAAGTAACCCCTCACCTGACGCCCCTTAAGCAGAGTCGTCTAGAGGAGCTGCAGAAAAAGCTGGCCGCGACCACGCAAACCTCCAAGTCTCGACACCGCCCGGCGCCCAAGGACGAAGGAGACACTGCCAGTCTGGGAAAGGGCAATGCGGGCACAAGCCGCGAGCAGATAAAATCAGACATGGATGACATCATCGCGTCGGAGTGCGTCTACTGCGGCGAACTGATGATCAAGTCCATCGACAAGCCCTTCATTGATCCAAAGAAATTTGAGGAGGAGAAATCCAGCTGGTTATGAATGAGGCCTCAATTCCTCTCAATACGAAAAAGACATGACAGCCAACCATCCTGTATGTTGATGAAACTGCTCCATCCGTAGGACTGACCCATTCAGTGGATACAGACATTCACCTGATTGCCTACTGTTGTTCAGCTTCAGGTGTTATTTTGGTTGGCAGTATATGAAGCTGATTTAAAGACCTTTGCACTTTGTATGGCTGTAAAAAATGGACATTGTGGAAAATGATACACGATGATGTACTGATGTATAATATTGCCAGGGCTAAACCTCTGAATATGATGGCAGAAAATAATTCAAAAGCTAGAATCAGATATAACTGCACTATACATCTATTAATAACTTTAAGTTATGCACTTGCTTTGTCTATTGGAAACATAACCTGCACTTCCATAGCTCAATTCAACCGCTCCATCATCGGCTCTTAGTTCATCCTACAGGTAACGTGGGGCAGATTATCAAACTGTTAGTTTATATACTCACTGTTTTACGATAAATGTGTGGCACATTGAAGCTTGTCAGTATGGATGGACTGATATTCTGGTTGTTTAATGTAATAAATATTTAACAAATGATTTTAACTATTGACTGGACTGAGAAAAATCAAAACCCTTCTTCACCGTTCCTTTGCTCCCCGGAGGAGGACAGCAAAAATCATCACATCAGTGGGCTTAAGTGATACACAGAATAGTTAATGCAGTTTAATAGTAAAGCATGTCAACAAATTGAGCTAGGCTACTGTGACAGCAAGCATTTTTTGGATCCAAACAATGATTAGCATTCTGTGTGTATCACATATGTATTACCTCTATAAGTGACAGTAAATGTTCATACATCTGCAAAAAAATAAGTATGTATATTTTCAAATTGTCTGGAGTTCACTTGAAAATAGTATAGAAGTTTACAATGATCACATTTTACCCTGGATATCCCAACTGTCTCACCATACCTAAAACGGAGTTCCCGTATAATGACGTCAGACGTAGCTCGGTAATCTTCGCTGTGTGCAGACGCTATTAATCGAGATCGGAATTTAATCGATGCATTTGTACAAGTTGATCATATGCCGCCCAAAACGTCATATATGATAGATATGAATCTAATTAAACTAACGAACGATACTGCTGCTGTTTCTTGTCACATTCGTGTCTTCGTAGACATCCACGGGAGAGCGTCATTCTCTCTGCGATTGATTATAACGCCTGCTCCTTGCTGTACCCTCGCCATGGCGTCGTGTCTCTGCTCTCTCAGTAACAGAAAGTGGCCGCCTCTCTGCTGTTGCTGCCGACTCAAAGCTCACAGACTCGCTCGGCGCCTCAAACCGCCATTTTGGAGTCAGAGAACCGAGAGTCGGCAGCAGCGGAGAGAGAGACGCAAAAGGGGACACGGGGCCGAGGTGAGAGACTCCATGGTGGTTGTTATGGCGAAGGAGCAATGGGGGAAGATGGCCGGGAGGGAGAAAGAATTAAAACATGGGGATCATTCGTTCGCCAGGCAACCGAGTCCCCGCTTGTGGCCAAAACAAGGGTACGGGAGGCGCGGGCGAAGGGCCTTGCTCTCGCTGCACCGCGACTAGCCTGTTTAAGAAATGCCATTAAACCAATATCATCTTAATACATTGTTTAGGCAAGGAGGTGGTGGCCTTAAAGAGACAGACCCGATTTGAATACTTCATATTAATGGTGAGAGGACGTCTGTGTCAAAATGATAAGCTAACGTTTCTAATGAAAAGCTACACAAGCGATAGCAAGGATGCTACAGCAACAAAGACCAGATGCTTGGGAAATCAACTATCCATGTATATTTAGTGTCCCCTACTTAAACCAGTAAGCTGTCAGTGTGCATGTGTGTCTATACATCCACCTTGACCCTTTACTATCATTGATCGGAGGCAATGCTGCTTCTGCTTATTAGCAATGCCGCTAACGGTTGTTAGCCTGCAAGCTACAACCCAGTGCACCATCCAAGGTTAGCTAGCAAACCTGGCGAAAGCTATCTTGGATTTGCAAGCTAGCTAATCATAATATAACGACGTAATAGCATAACAAGATAAATATTATTAATAACAACAACCCATTTTGTTCTTAAAAAAGCGTCCGAACTCTTAGTTGGCTTTAGTTTTTGCCATCCGCTAACAGGCGACAGAGTGAACTTGCATCAAAGTAAAGTGAATACGTAATGAGAAGTAATTACTGAGGACAACCGAATCGTCACTCACTGTCATAACTCAAAAACATCACTTGCCACTCACACATTAAATGATAACTTAGACAATGCATCAACACTTGGTTACTAAGTGATATTTAAATGATTGACTCGAACCATTAAAAGACGATACATCAAATATATTCAATATGACTCTTAATAAACTCTTACTGATGTGAAAATATTATGTAGTAACACTTGGTCATTAAGGTATATTAACGTTATAGTGGAAATCGTGGACTCAAACCACTTAAATATATCCAACTGTCGCTGTTAAAATAGTATGCAGTATACTAGCCTAGTGTGTTATACAAACAATAGTAAATCAACTCTTCTTATATAAAGGAAAGCTGAATCAATGCATTTTGTACTATAAAGTATTAACATCATGTACATGATGGCATATCATGTACAATTCATTCAATTAAATGCATAGTAATGTTGCAGAAGCTTTTTTTTGTTTTATTCATTTAATTTCAACATGGAAACCTTCTGTGAAAATTATGAGCATTCACATTGTCAGAATTGTGCAGAACACCACACATGAAAGAACACTAGCCACCCATAAAAACACTATATCACTGTCATGTGTGAACATCAGTGTGTGACTGCAGTTTCTTCTTTTGTAGGGGACTTTCACCATTGTCTGATCATTAATCTTGGAATCAAGGACAATGGCATCCCTTACTGAGAAGGTAGGTCCAATGTTTATGCTCTGTTTTGCTTAACAAGTCCCATACAATGATGATATTATACTGCATGCCAAGCCAATGGAGTACAAAAGTAAATTTTTTGACTAAATGACATTGTTCCGACATGACTCAGTTTGAGATATAGGGCTTGATTAGTCTTTCTTCTTCTCTCTCTTTTTAGTAAACGCGCTGCCCTGTTGGGCAGAGGTGTCTGCTGCATGGCGTCTGGGCAGGGGGGCCGACCGGAGGCTGGGGCATCAGGGAGCTCTGGCCTGGCCAAACCTCTCTACCTGCAGCGCTTGGAAAGATCCCTGAGGTTGGACAGTTTCCTGCGCCAGACTGCCGCCATCTTCAATGGAGATATAACCACCAGGTACAGGCAGAGTAGAGTCTGGGTGGGCAAACACTTTTCAATTTTTGGCTCCGGTTGGCCCCTGATAACATTTTAGGGTTAATTTAAGTGGCTCATGCTTGGATGTTGAAAATTGTTTTGTGAATGCAATTTTGTGTGTATGGGTTTGCTGGTTAAAAACACTGTGCATTGTAGAAGGGCTGCACGATTTGGTAAAAATAAGTCATTGCTATCATTATTCAAGTTATCCTTGAAAAATTCTACTAAATGGCCATGGTGTGATTTATTTTTATTTTTTAAGGACCAGTACTAAACAAGCTTTTTAATTTAATATGTTGTATACTTTTTTTAAGCTGGGACTCCTCTACAACACCACTATACTTCTTTCAGAATTATTTAAAAAACATATTCTTTACTAAATATTGCACCTACTGCGATTTGGATATTGCACTAGTCCACATTGTGATTTGACTTATATTGTAGCAATCTTCCATCCAGTATATCAGGTCCTAAGTATCTAATGTTGTCCTACAATGTGCCCCCTGTCATGGATACAGTATTCATACTACCAGATACAAATCCAAAGAGAAGATTAGATATTTATAGGCTGCAAAGAGTGGGCTCACAGCTGCATACCTCTCATGTTCTAGTGATGAGAGTGATGACAGCGATGGAGGATTGGGGACGGGGTTATCCCTGGACCCCCCCACTCAGCATACAGCTCTGACCGTGAAGAGTGAGCCGTGTGAGGAAGAGGATGGGCTCTCAGAGGAGAAGCCCCTCAACGGAGTCCTGCTGCAGGGTAAAGGTACATACAGAAACACTGATATTTATGTTATGCACATGCTAGTACACACTGGTTTTGTCTAATTGTTCACGGGAGTTCATGCATATTTATATTGTGTTGTGTTTTTTTGTCCCCCTCTTAACTCCACAGACCAAAAGGCAGATAATGCTAGTCTCTACAACTTCTCCAAGCTGAAGAAGAACAGGAAATGGCTGAAGGTATTTTATAGACATTTTCTCATTTGTACTATGGATGTAATTGTTCAGTTGAGGAATGGATTACTTATAAAACTAATATATTTATTTAGTGGTCTAAAACTTGGCTAAACCCAAACTTGAAAAAACTGTTGAAATTGTCATGTTTTTTGTTGTTGTAAATAACTCAATGGACACAAATGTAAATGGTTGTTATACATTTGTCTTAAAAAACAAACAGTAAAAGTACCAAGAGAAAGCCGCATTTTTACTTAAATCTCAGGCTATTTATCCTCTATTTCAATTTTCCATTCAAGCTCTTGCCAAAAATCTAACAATATTTCAAATACAATTAATTATGAACTATCTTAATTGATCAGTTATTTCTCCTCCTGTATATTTAGTGTTTATGGAATGTAATAAGCTTCCAGTCCATTCCCTTTACCAATGGTTTCGACCTGCTTAACTATATTTGACTTATCCATACAGTTGAATAAAAAGATCAGTACAGATGTTGTCCTTCTCTGTATCCTGTATCCTTTTTACCATGTTCCTCCTCTCTCTCCTGCAGACTATCCTGCTGAGTGACGACACCACGGACTCGGACACGGACTCGGATGACTCTGACTTCAGTTTGTCCCGGGACGAGCTGCAGGACATGCTGAGGCTCCATCGCTTCACCAGGCAGCATCAGAGCAAGTTCCACTCTGACCGGGAGGTAGGAGAAGCACACATAAACACAGCGTCTGGTGACATAAGGAATTCCATTTGTAATGTCATCTTCACATTTATTTTCCTTTTTCCTTCAGCTTCACCAATACCAGTACTACAGCACTGGACTCCTCTCTACTCATGATCCCTTCTATGAGCAGCAGCGCCACTTGCTGGGCCCGAGGAAGAAGAAAATCAAAGATGAGAAGAAATTCAAGGGTAAAGACAAAAAAAAACTAACATCTCTGGAATCCTTTAGAATCACAGTTATGTAAATAACCAAACTAAAAAAGCATTCATGTTTTTTAAATATAGTAATTTACATGTTTTTATTCTATATATTTTTTTAGCCAAGCTGAAAAAGGTGAAGAAGAAGAAGAAACGGGGAGAGGGGGACTTCCTGGATGATGGGCGTCCTTATATCACCAAGATCTTTGCAAAGTTTTCCCATGATGCTCCACTGCCTGTAGTGAAGAAGAAGAATCTCACCATTGAACAGCTGAACGCACGGCGGCGCAAAGTCTGGCTCACTATCGCTAAAAAGGAGATTCCCAAGGTTCGTATGCATAACAGTGACAAAGAAGACGTTCAACAGCTTCTTCCTTTTTAAATATAGTAAAACATTCATTTTGAAAGGTGT